CTTGAGTGTAGACTCATGGCCAGGAGTAGGTGGTTAACAAAACAAATTCAATGGCAGTTTTGCAGACTTTTGTCTCATATTGCTTTGTGTGGACATTTTTTATCTTACTGTTTTTGTTTGTTTTTAGTTTTGGTGTGTGTGTGTGTGTGTGTGTGCTTTGCTTTTTAAAAAAATTTGCTTGTTTTTTTAAGGAGGGGAGGGCATGGAGTTGGGTGGGTGGGGAGGATCAGTGGGGAACTGGGGAAGGGGAGAGCATGATCAGAATATATAGCATGAAAATTTTCCAATCAATAAAACATCCTTGTCAGGCGGAGTCAGGGTCTGGACGTAACGATGAGATGCGGCATCACTGGGCAGAGTGGGCTTTAGCGTCACCTGGGAAAGTCTGCTCTATTTTTATCCCATTTGCAGTGCTGAGGATGACCATGCTAGGCAAGCTATCTACCAGGGAGCTACCTTCTAGCCCTTTTTCATTTCTGGGACAGGGTCTTGCTCTATAGCCCAGGCCAGTCTTCAACTTGCAGCCCTACCTCTGCCTTCCGAGTAGCTAAGGATGCAGGCCTGTGCCACCAGGCCCGGCTGCAATGTGCTTTTCTGGGGTTTTGTTTGGTTGTTTGGTCTGAGTTTTTTGCTTGTTTGGTCAGTTTTGGTTTGTTGTTTTGCTGACCCAGACTAGCCCCCAACTTTTGATAATCCTCCTGTCTCTGCCTCCAAGTGTACTGGCATATACCATCACACCCAGCTGGAATGCTTGTTTCTTAAAGAATACATTGACATTTTATAAGAATCATAAAATGTTACTCATTTTTTTAAAAAAACTTATTTGTGTGTACATGCACCCTGGCATGTATATGGAGATCAAACGACAATTTGTGGATTTCATTCTCTCCTCCTACCACGTGAGTCCCAGGGATCAAACCTTTACCTACCGAGCCACTGCACCAGTGAACCAATTTCCTGGTTTTTCGTCTCATCTGCCTAGATGAAACCACCAGTATGACTGGTCCAGTAGGGCTCCGCAGTCATTTCCGCTCGATGTCGTAAGTGCTGATTGGATGATGTTACCTCTGCTTGCTCTCTTGGTCAGGCTGCTCCAGCCGCTTCTGCTGGCTGCTGTGCACACCTGATCCGATGACGCTTTGCTGTCTACCTGCTGCTCCTACCTGTCTGCTGTCTACTAGTTTGCTTGCTACACGCTTTAATTCACTCCTTTCAATCTGAACACACACTATCATAGGTCATTCTCTGCACAATACAGAACAAAAGACAAAACAGACAACAACAAAACCATGCGAACAAGGCTCCTGGCTACCTCCTGGCCTCGGCCATTCCACTCCAGCCCATCTCCTTGTGTTCCGGTTCACACCAACACCTTTGCACTGATTGATGCTTCTGCCTGCAAGGCAGTCAGCCCACCTGGCTACAAGCTTGTTTTGTTTCCTTCAAACCTCCGAACAAATCTACCAGAGGCCATGTGATCACCCTGTCTCAATCAGCAAGCTCTTACTATTCTTTTCTGTTAAGAACCCACATAGTATGTATAAAATTTAAATGCATATATCAATGTGTCTATAGCATATACAGTTCATATCATACTACATATCCTAATATGATATACCATGCACATATCACATACACACTGTCTAGTACTCTCAGATGTTAGCTCCAGAGGTGAAACTTCATTTCTCACAGCATCTGCAGAGTTAAGAGAAGAACCCAGGATAGGATAAAACCTCAAATTGGGGTCTCGGGCAGTGGTTCCCAACCTTCCTGATGCTGTGACCCTCTAACACAGCTCCTCATGTTGTGGTGACTCCCAACCACTGCTACTTCTTAACTGTAAATTTGCTACTGTTATGAATTATAATGTAAATATCTGATATGTGACCCACAAAGGGGTCGTGACCCACAGGTTGAAATGGCTGGGCTAACACCAATGGGATATCCTCAGCCTGTTAGACTGCTGCTGTGCTCCTATCCATGATTATGTACGTGCAAGCACGAATCTGTTCTGAATGTCTGTCAGTACCTGGGGCAGGGGCAGCACTAGCTATTGAACCGCGGTGCTGAGTATGTTAGGCAAGCATTCTACCACAGAGTTACATCAGCAGCCTTTTGTTTTGTTTTGGTTTTGTTTGCTTGTTTTTTGTTTGTTTGGGTTTTGTTTTTGTTTTTTGTTTTTCGAGACAGGGTTTCTGTTTGTAGTTTTGGTGCCTGTCCTGGAACTAGCTCGTGAAGACCAGGCTGGCTTCAAACTCACAGAGATCCAACTGCCTCTGCCTCCCGGGTGCTGGGATTAAAGGTGTGTGCCATTACCACCCGGCATCAGCCTCTTTAATTTGATCTTATTGCATTATTTTCTTTTTTTTTATTCATTTATTTATTATGCAGTCTTCTGTCTGCAGACCAGAAGAGGGTGCCAGATCTCATTACAGGTGGTGGTAAGTAACCATGTGGTTGCTGGGAATTGAACTCAGGACCTCTGGAAGAGCAGTCAGTGCTCTTAACCGCTGAGCCATCTCTCCAGCCCCCTTGCATTATTTTCTTATGTGTGTGTTCAGGCTCCATGACTCACAAGTGGAAGTCAGATAACTCACAAGAGTGAGTTCTCTTTCCACTACGTGCCCCTAGACTAGAACCCAGGTCATCAGACTTGGCAGTGGGTACTTTTATCCAATCTCCCACCCTCTCCCCTTTTCTACATTTTAATTTTGAGACGAGGTCTCCCTATGTAGCCCAGGTGCACTGGCTGGTTTTGCGTGTCAACTTGACACAAGCTAGAGGCATCAGAAAGGAAGGAGTTTCCGCTGAGGAAATGCCTCCATGAGATCCAGCTATAAGGCATTTCCTCATTTAATGATCAGTGAGGGAGGGCCCAGTCCATGGTGGGTGGTGCCATCCCTGGGCTGTTGGTCCTGGGTTCTAAAATAAGGTGGGCTGAACAAGCTGTGGGAAGCAGGCCAATAAGCAGCTCCCCTCCATGACCTCTGCATCAGCTCCTGTCTCTGAGATGCTACCCTGCTTGAGTGCCTGTCCTGACTTCCTTCAGTGATGAACAGCAATGTGGAAGTGTGAGCCAAATCAACCCTTTCTCCCAGCTTGCTTTTTGGTCATGGCATTTTGTCGCAGCAATAGAAACCCTAGCGAAGACACCGGCTAGCTTTGGATTTATGGTCCCAACCCCCTGAATATCTGGAATAACAACTATGTACCACTATATCAGGTTTGTCAGTGCCTCTTAACTACAGCATCACATACAGCATCACATAGCATTGATACCAATGCTCAGCACTTTACTTCATTGTATCAGTTAATGAAATCATAACTCACTTAAGTGAATCATTACACTCCAGCTACGTATCCTAAGGCATAGCATATAACGTAGCATGGAACATACATGGAACATACATGGAAGTGCCTGGAAAACTCATCCCACGCTGGGTCCGACAAAATACTTTCAACCTCACTCCCACAACCTGTTTCCTTTTCTCAAACTGGGTCTCGCTCTGTAGCCCAAGCTGATCTCAAACCGATGGCAATCCTCCTGCCTCAGTCTCTCGTACTGGGATTACAGGTGTAAGCAAGCTGATCTCAAACTGGTGGCAATCCTCCTACCTCAGTCTCTCATACTGGGATTACAGGTGTAAACTGCCGCATACCGCTTCCTTGCCAGAACTTTCTACTGGAGCAATCCCAGACACTAACTTCAACTTCTCTGAACTATTTCTAATCAGAACAGTTGGAATAACAAAAAGAAAATAACAGCAGCGAACAATGAGTGACTACTTCCCATACATCGTATTGTTACTGTTATTTGTCCAACACTGAAGGTTATGAAATTAGAGGTCAGTAAAGCAAGAATCCACTACGCCTGTACTACATTAGTATTTTTGGCCGTGTAGCAATGATGCTGAGAGAATTCATGCATAAGGCTTTGTGTCTGTTAGAAGTCGCATTTTGGAGGTCCCTATAGTCCTTGTAGTTTGTACACACCTCCATCAATACACAGGGCCTTGATCTGCCTTGTCATTTAACAAACATTCCTATCTGCATTTGACACTTCTTGCATGCTAGATTTTTGTGGATTCAGCAATGGGCAATACTTTTAGGAAGCAGATAAAAGTACCGAACATTTGTTATATGATCTTTTATCGCTGTGACTCTGATACCTATCCCAGTATGTGGCTCTCTGTAACTATTTAGTGAATACTTAAAGTTATGGAGGAAAATCTGAATGTATGTAATCAAGGACTAAAAGTACAATCTGAATTTAACGTTGGGATGTGTGCAGTCTTTTTTTCTTCTCTCTCTCTCCCTCTCCCTGTAAAGAGGCAAATATGGAAGAGTCTCCATGCACCAAGCAGACGCTCTGGGAGGAATTTGGAGTCAACAATCACTAGCCAAGCTCTCCTCCTCCTTGAGCCTTCTCTACCCTAAACTCCTGATCTGTTCTCAATATTGTCCAATACTAAGAACCTGTCCATAAGAAACATCACTACTTCGAAGCTGTTCCTCTGAAACCCCAGAGTGATAGGCCTGAGGCCAAGGACAGCGGCGACAGGTTGCTAGGCAATGAGGGCTGGGGGCGGGGCAGCGTGAGGGGCGGGATCTGGATGCCGGCGGTGTTCGGGTGGGACCTGTTACCTTGCCCGCTTGGGTGGCTGCCGCCAAGCACGGGTGAGTCCCGTCGTATCGCCCTATGGCCACCATGCGGGGGCTGATTTTGTGGCGCAGTTTCAGGGTGAACACGGGCAGCAGCATGATGGCGGCGCCTGGGAGCTGAAGGCAGGCGCAGTGCAGGCCGGTCGCCTGGCAGCGGGTGAGGGGTGCAATGACCAGACACACAGTGCCCCCCGAGTGCCCCAGGCCCCGCGCCCTGAGCGCGCAAATGAACAACCCGAGTAGCCCTCTTCCTCTGCGCCTGCGCGAGCCCGCCCAACTGCAGAGCTGCGCAGGCCTCAACTAGCTACTGCGACTGCGCAGTGGGCGTTGTGCCGGCTTGTTCCGCGCTCTCTTTGTCGGTGGACGCAGGCCGATGCAGTAAATTAGTATTAGAAGCAACGCCACATTGGCGTTTGGGTGCCGGTGCCTGAGTCAGTGCCTCCCCAGGATTCTCTCTACCACATCAGCAAAGCTGCACCCCGTAGACCCCACACACTATGCTACCCACTCCACAGGGTCGTTCGTTCAGGAACTAAAGGCCTCAGCCGGCGGGTGGCTCAATGAGTGAAACTTGATGCCGAGCCTGGTGACCTGAGTTTGAAGCAGAAAACCAGCTCCACGTGCGTGCCGTGGGGCGCACACGCATGATAAGTAAAATGTAATATTTTTAAAAAATAACAATGAAGTACCTACTGTGTCCCTTGCTTTAGCTGTTATGTTCAGACAAACGACAATATAACTTGAAAATAACAATCCTCACCGAAATAAAATATAAAAATGTTTTCAACTCATGTTGAAATAGTTTAGGTTTAGGCGGTGAATGTACGGCAGGAGAGAAAGATGCAAAGTTCAGGGACATGGGAAGAGAAAATCACTTTCTCCCCTAAATACTGTCAAGGATTAGCTGAGAGCTAAGAATTCCGGCACAATTAGCATTTGCTATGGAGAGACAACACTCCCTTTAGAGAAAGATACGTCAGCTAAGTCCTAAACGAGGATGGCCTTTCGCCTTTCCCAGCTATAAAGCGGCAGTTCGCTAGGAGCCTCACAAAAAAACCTACTTAAATAAATGACGTGTCTTAACCTCCGTGTCCATCCTTGTAACACGTGGGTCTATCATCAGAGTGCAGACCCTCCCTACTCAAGGCACCTCTGAAGTCGCCTTCTAATCTCATTTATCCAAACCAAAGTGAGAAGAAGGAGCAGTAGTCGTGGGGGCTAACAGGGAAGATCGCGAAGAGGAGCGGCAGGTGAGAAGCATCGCCCGAACGGAGTATGAATGAAAATAGCATAAGGACATGGGCTAATGTGCAAGCTAGTTTTTAAAATAAGAGAGAACGAAAGGAGGATTCTTAACAGCACATTGAGGTGTTGAGAGCTACCAAATACTCTACGTGGAAGATGTTAGGATTCTTAAGTGGGACTCCCCTTGCGAACCCCACATCCAAGCTCTTAGATTATTCTTTCCCTGAGTACCCCTCCTCTATCTATCTTACTACACCCCAAATCCCCACATTACGTAAAGCTATGCTGAAATTATATATTGTGGGATGTGTGTGTGTGTGTGTGTGTGTAGATAGGTAGAACAGCACCATGGGAACCAAACTCATCAGGTGTGTGCTTTTTGTTGTTTTGTTTTGTTTTTTTGAGACAGGGTTTCTCTGTGTAGCTTTTGTGCCTGTCCTGGAACTTGCTCTGTAGACCAGGCTGGCCTCCAACTCACAGAGATCCGCCTACCTCTGCCTCCCGAGTGCTGGGATTAAAGGTGTGCGCCACCACAGCCCAGCCAGGCATCTGCTTTTACCTGCTGAGCCATCTTGCTGAGCAAAATCTGAATAAACTTCAATGCTGCTTCAGACTGTCTGGTGCTGGACTCTTATCTGCAATAAAATCAATAACCCCATTTTTGCTTGAAAAAGGCTCTCAGGCTACTGCAGGTGGCAGAGTGGAGCTGTGTCTCTGGCCCACGCCTCATGCACAGCTATTTGGCAAAAGGTAACCTAATTTGGAAAACAGTCTTTTTACACACATAAGTTAAAGAGCTTGAAATGAGGTCATCCTGGATTAGAGTGGCCCCTAATTCTAATGACATGTATCCTTTTAAGAGGGAGAGAAGACAGAAAGAGCCATAGGCAGCAATTGAAGATGCTACTCGAAACTGAAGCTGCCTGAAGGCTCCAACCCCTTGGAATTCTTCCCTAGAATGTTCGCAGGAGACATTCTCTTCTTAATATCTTGATTTCAGACTTCTGGCTACAGATGTGAGAGGAAATAACCTTGTTTTAAGGCACAAATGGTTGGGAATGGAGGCTTGCTTGTGAACTACTGGTATACTTTTTAAATACAAACTCGCATGACTGAAGAGTTGTGGCCGTTCGTTACACACACACTTTTGAGAGCCTGCTATGTGCTGACAACTCTTCCAGACAATAAGGAGCAAGAAAAGACGAATCTCTCTGCTCCTGGAACTAACGCAGTAGTCAGAGAAAACAAGAAAGGCACAGTCGTGAGGGTAGGCACCCCAGGAAGGTTGGGAGAAGGGCATATGAAGAGAACACAATTCTTAGTAAGGCTGTAGAGAAGAAACCTCCCTGAGAAAATGGCATTCAGGCAAAGACTTAAAGTCAGTGGAGGAACCACTTCCAGGGAGAAGGTTCCAGCAGAAAAAAATGTGCTAAAAAAATGGTGCTAAAAGTACTGAAGCCTGGAGGGCTCAGCTAGCTGCCTTCTGAAATAGGCATTTACTGATGAAAAATGAGATGAGCAGCCACCACCATCGGAGCCTGGGGAGCAGAGGACAGAGAGTCAGGAGGATGTCGGCCTGAAAGACAGGTTGATGGAGCCTGCTAGGAGCAAATGAACCACTAGAAGGCATTGTAGTGAGAGTTGAAAGGTGAGCCCAAACTCTCCCTGGTGTCTGCATTTCATAGAGTTGTACAAATGAGCATTTTTCAAGTCTACTGGTGTGACTAGGGCTAGTTGCAATATCCTTTGGGGGATAATGTCAAAAGATTAATTTTGAGTGGCTTGATGGAATGTAAGACCCAAGCCTTGGCCCTCCAGGACTCTCTAGTAGCTGATGCTTCTGAGTTCCATCAGCTCCTTTCCACCCCATCCCCGCTCCCTATGGATCTCCTGCAGACTTCCGAAGACCAGGAGCATCTTTCTGGCCAGCCCACTGATGCAAACTACCCTGAATCTGTTCCTCTGCATCAGAACCTACTTCATCTTATGTAATCCTTTCTCTTTAGCTCAAGGGCTGAACTTCCACAAAGTCCTTGGTTCATTGAACTCACTGAACTGTGTTAATTTCTGGTTGAGGTTGATAGGTCACCTCTGCCAGGGACAACTTGAAATGAATGAGTTTCTAGAAGGTATCATTTGAGGTGCTTCATTTTTTCTGGCAAAGGTCTGCATGTTCCAGACAAGGATAGAATGGTCAGTGAGCGCTGTGGACTTTCACAAGAAAGAGGGTGACAGTGGGCTGAAGGGGGGGGGCAGCACTAAATAGGGATCAGCCTGTGGACCTCAACAGCTGCAGATATGTCTCACAGTCTTCTTCCCTCAATCTCTAGGGGAGACATGGACTAACAGTATACGCTCTTTTTGTTTGTTTGTTTGTTTGTTTGATTGATTGATTGATTGATTGATTTGTTTTTTCGAGACAGGGTCTTTTTTCGAGGTGGGTCTAGCTGTCCAGGAACTCACAGATACCCGCAGCCTCTGCCTCCCAAATGCTGGGATTAAAGGCCTGTCCCACGAAGGCCAACTGTAGTAGTCACTCTTACTAACCCTTCTCTGTTTGCCAAGTGCTGGCACACACTATTTAAGTCACTGGTTCTCATGGCCTCTCTTGAAGGGAGGGACTGTCATCATCCCCGTTTTAAAGGGAGGAAACTCAGTCTTAGAGGTTTTGTAACTTAAACCCAAAGTCGTGTGACTGGTAAACTGCAGAACAATTATGGCAAACCCAGGCAGGCAGGCTCCAGAGCCTGGGGACTCCTAAGGGGTCCGCACATACAGACAGCAGCTGTGAACTTCTTTGAGTGCCAGTATCCTCATCTGGAAAAGAGGATGGGGGGCAGTGCCTTGTGTGAGGAGTGTCATGGGACTCAGATGAACTAATAGATCTGGTCCTGCTTAGCTTTTTGTTTTTGTCCATTTGAAACAAACTAGAATCATCCGGGAAGAGGAACCTCAATTGAGCAATCAATCACCTCTGTCAAATTGGCTTGTAGGCAAGTCTATTGGGGGAATTTTAATGATTGATGTGGGGGTCCCAGCCCACTGTGGGTGGTACCCACCCCTGGGCAGGTGGTTCTGGGTTGTATAAAAAAGCAGGATGATCAAACCATGGAGAGCAAGCCAGGAGGCATCACTGCTCTATGGTTCCTGTCACTGCTCCTGCTTGCGTTTCTGCCCTGACTTCCCTCAATGATGTACTGTAATCAGGACATGGGCGGGTGGTCCTGAATGGTATATAAAAGTAGGCTGAGCAAGCCGTGGGAGCTGGCCAGTAAACAGCATTCTTCCGTGGCCTCTGCTTCGGTGCCTGCCTCCAGGTTCCTGCCTTGAGTTCTGGTTTCCCTAATGACTATGACCCAGAATATGTAAAACCAAATAAACCTTCTCTTCCCTAAGCTGTTTTTGGTCATGGTCTTTATCACAGAAAGAGAAAGCAAGCCAAAATGATACTTAAGCTAATGTGTGGTGCTTAAAGGGGCTCCAGAAATAGTCACCAATTTCATAGCTAGGAGACTGGGCTATCTGACTGGTAATAAATCCAGCATATTTTTTCTTTTCTTCTTTTTAGCAGATGGTATTATACCACTTTTCTTCTCAGCCCTGGGTTTGGAAAGCAAGTCTAACTAGTCAAGTTCTACTAGGCTAGACCAAACCAGAGTATAAGATCTTGACTAACGGGAAAGGGAACGGGGCTGTAGGCAGCTCCCTCTCCTGGTCCTCATCTTGAGTTTGCACAGCATCTACCATAGATAGTGTGCAGGGGTAAAGAACAGACTTGGGATTTAGGTCAAGAGGAGACAGAGTGAGAGAGCGGTCCTACAAGAAGGAGGCTTCCAACAGCAGCAAAGCTTGCTTCACAAGGCCTGATGGGGCTGGAGAAGGATGCTAAAATTCACGGAGTATATTCCAAGGAGGGCCAGCTGGACAGGAATTTGTATTTTGCTTTGGTATTTGAGACAGGGTCTTACTATATAGCCCAGCTGAGTTTGCACACTCGGCAATCTTCTTGCCTTGGTCTCCCCGTAAAATAACATACTATGAAGCCGGAGGCTATTATCTGGGGATAGTCCATTCCTTTTCTCATTCCCATCACCACATAGCCTGTCTGTAAGGGAGCAGACCTTTAGGGGTGTCCCCATACTCTTTAAGATGAGTGGACAGCTCACAACCCATGGAAGCAGAGAGGCCTGGAGACCACTGGTGCAGAGCAGGTTTTCCGGGCCAAGGTCTCTGTGCTGTCCCACTTCCCCTTCAGAGGCAGCTCTCACTGGTTCCCCATCCCCCACTCTCCCTTTCTAGAAGTCTTGGTAGCTCTATGATATGTTCACTGTGAGCCACAAGGTGTCAGTCTCTTCTCTTAGCTCATTTCACACATGCGTATCAGAAAAGACAGGAAACGTGTATGTCTCAGTATCACCAGCTTGTCACATAGGAAAAACAGTCACCTGTGACCAGGGGATGGGGGCACCTATAAGAATAGAAGCCACAAGCCTGAATGCTGAAGGTCTTACTCGCATTATCTCTCTTAACCTCCAAACCTGTGAAATAAGCAACGTTACCACCTCTATCTTCCAGATGGAGAAACTAATGTCAACCCCAGATCCTTCCTAGTTCACTGGTCCCAGACACACTACAGAACAGGTAAGGAAATACCACCAATGCTGGCATTAGGTGTGCCCATCCCCCACCTCAGAAGCCCATCAGAACCAGGAAGGTCTCATAGGGCCAGACAAACAGGGACCTTGTGGTAAATGCCAATGTCTTTGTCCACACTCCTGGTGCTCTCTTCTCATAGGAGAGTCTCAGACACTTCCCAGAAAGTTACATATCCCAATATCCAGAGTGCCACATTCTCTCGAGTATCGTGTGAGCCTCTTTCAAGGGCTTTGACCTAGTGAGGCTAGAGTCCACAATGTTAAGACACTCATGGCTCAAGTCTGAATAATTTCCAGATGCTAGGCAAAGTGAGAAACACGTTAAAATGGAATCAGTGCTGCAAACCCAAGCACATCCAGCAGCACAGGGAAGGAACTGTTTCCCCAGCACACCCAGTAGCATAAGGAAGGAACTGTTTCCTCAGCATACCCAGTAGCATAAGGAAGGAACTGTTTCCCCAGCACACCCAGTAGCATAAGGAAGGAACTGTTTCCCCCAGCACACCTGGCAGCACAGGGAAGGAACTGTTTTTAAGCTCCTTCGCTACTTTTGAACTTGTGTTTCTGGCTGTACCATCTCCGCTTGCCTCTCCAGATCCATTCCCTCCCTCCTCTGTCCCAGCCTGTGCCCTGGGAGGCTGACATGACAGATGTGGTCCCTGAGGTCCCCTTGATTTGCCAGATCAGAGCATGGGAGGGCAGAAAGGTCAGAGTTTTGGTCCCTGTGTCAATGCTGATCACAGCTTAGGCACACCTGTCTGTGCTCCTCCATCTCCAGCCTTAGCTCCCAGGAGGCCCTCTCTCAGTCTCAGCTGTAGCATTCACTGGGCTCCATGGCACCACCTCCTTCTCTAAGTCCTTGGGGTCCAGGGACAGTGTGACAGCTCCTCTCTGTGCAACTCCCAGATGCCTCTTCACTTCTGAGTTCAGCTTAGCCTGCCCATACTGCTCTGAATGCTTATCCTGTGGGTAAGCAGCACGTTATTCCAAACATGCCACTTCGGCATGAGGATCATTTTGAGCTGAATGCAACTGAGGGGGGAGGGGACTATAAGAAAAGCTTTCTAGAAGAGTGTAGCAGTATACACCCATGTTCCCAGAGCAGAAAGCGAATTGTTGTAAGTTCAAGGGCAATCTGATCACAGACCAACTAGTGAGACCCTATCTCAAATTTGAAAAATAGAAATAATAATCAACTCTTTTTCCAGATATTACCATGGAATTAAACTGGGCAAGGCTGTGGTCTCTCTTGGTATCATTTATAACTGAATGATAACCCACATGCTGGCTAGTTCTTATAATCAACTAGACACAATTGTTAACCCATGCACTGGCCTTTCTCCCTCTGTGGTTTCTGCTTCTTCTTCTTCTTCTTTTTTTTTTTTTTTTTTTTTGTTTTGTTTTTGTCTTTCGAGACAGGGTTTCTCTGTGGCTTTGGAGCCTGTTCTGGAACTAGCTCTTGTAGACCAGGCTGGCCTCGAACTCACAGAGATCCACCTGCCTCTGCCTCCTGAGTGCTGGGATTAAAGACGTGCACTACCACTGACTGGCTCTTTTTTTTTTTTTTTAATTTAGGCTTAAACCTAAGCAAGTGCTCTAGCACTGAGCTATATCCGTATTTGTTTTTTCATTTTTAAAAATTAAATTTGTTTTGAGCTAAGTGTAGATTAAAGAACCCTGTCTTCAAGGGTATAAACAAACAAGGAGCGGAGCATGGTGGAGTACGCCTTTGATCCCAGCACTGGAGGCAGAAGCAGGTGGACCTTTGAGAGTTTCAGGTAGGCCTTGTCCTCACAGTAGAGCTCCAGAACAGCCTGGGCGATGTAGAAAGATCCTGTTTCCAAAAAACAAAATAAACAGGAAGGGCACCAAGAAGGAAAGACAGAGGGCCAGATATAAATAGTGCACACCTACAAGGCTAGCTAGCACTTGGGAGGTGGAGGCAGGAAGATCAGGAGTTCAGGGCATACTTAGCTATAGAGTGAGTCCAAGGTCAGCCTGCGGTACCTAAGCCCTGTCTTGAAAAGAAAGAAGGGAAGAAGGGAAAGAAAGAGGAGGGAGAGGAGGGGAAGGAGGGAGAGAAGGAGGAAGGAGAGAAGGAGAGAGGGAGGGGGTAAGGTGGGAACAGAACTTTAAAGTCAATACAAAGAGAAGGAAGGAGGATTCTACATGCATGAGGCTGGCTCTATGCTGCTATCCATTCAAAACGTGCGCTTTACAATTTTAATTCCAAAAATGCTGGCGTGCCCACGGCGGGCTCGCAGAGGAGCTGCGAGCCCGGCAGAGACGGCTGCCAGAGCGGTGCAGATTCCCAGCGGCAAGCGGCAGACACATGGTGGCAGACACATGGTGGTTTACGAGCGGAGGCTCATCCCGTGCAGGCTGGTCCTGCCATGCGGCCGGGAGAGCCACCCAAGCGGTCGGGTGAGCGGTAAAAGGCTTACAAGACACAGTAAATAGACATAAAGATGAACATTTATTACTTAAAGGAGTGAGAGAGACAGAGACAGAGAGACACGTATGCACACGCCAAGAGAGAGGACAGTAAGAGTGCGTGATCCAAGATGGCGGGGAGAGGTCAGGGGGTCGCCGGGAGTGGGCGTGGCTTGCCCCTTAAAGGGCCAAAAGAATAACAACAATGACGCTGCTTCTTTCTCTGCTTGAGTTTTTAGGACTCCCAGCCATAGAACTGTAACAGATGGCTGAGGTAAGAGGCTGGAAAGCGAAGACCTACTTTCAGTTCAGCACCCTGCCTGCACTGATGTTAGGCAGGTTAAAGATACCCTTCTGGGGGCTGGAGAGATGGCTCAGAGGTTAAGAGCATTGCCTGCTCTTCCAAAGGTCCTGAGTTCAATTCCCAGCAACTACATGGTGGCTCACAACCATCTGTAATGGAGTCTGGTGCCCTCTTCTGGCCTGCAAGCATATACGCAAACAGAATATTGTATACATAATAAATAAATAAATATTAAAGATACTCTTCTGGGGGCTGGAGAGAGATAGCTCATTGGTTAAAAAGCATTTGCTGCTCTTCCAGAGAACCCGTCAATTCCCAACTCTGGCATGGCCTATCAAAACCATCTGTAACTCCAGGTCCAGATGATCCAATGCCCTCTTCAGGCCTCTGTGGGCACTGCATGCACGTGGAACACATACATGCAGACAAAACACACATATGCACAAAATTTTAAAAAATAAGTAAGGTCTAAAGAGATGATTCGGCGGTTAAGAGCATTTGTTGTTCTTGCAGAGAACCTGGGTTCAATTCCCAGAACTCATGTGGTGGCTCACAACCATCTGTAACTCCAGTTCTAGGGGCTCCAGCATCCTCTTCTGTATTCCCTGAGCACCAGGAACACACGTGGTACGCAGATGTACATGCAGGTAAAACACCCATACACATAAAATAAATCTCAACAATATTTTTAAATAAGTATTTATTAAAGATGAACTCTCCAGTATGTTAGCCATGGGTCTTGCAACTGTTGAAAATTTGGAATGTGGATGATTCAAATTATACAATCTGTAAGTGTAAAACATACACTACTTATTTTTGTTTTTGTTTTGGGGGTTTTGTTGTTGTTTGTTTTTTTGAGACAGGGTCTCTCTACATAGCCCGGGCAGCCCTGGAACTTACTATGCAGACCTGGTTGACGTCAAACTCACCAAGGTCCGCCTGCCTCTGCCTCTGGAGTGCTGGGATCAAAGACGTGTGCCACCACCACTGGGTATCCTCTGATTTTTAAAGAGGTGGCATGAGAAACAATTTAAACCAGGTGTGATGGTTCATACTCATGATCCCAGCACTTGAAAGTTAAGACAAGAAGATACTAAGTCTAAGCGGGAGGGACACCCTATCTAAACACACACACACACACACACACACACACACACACACACACAGAGAGAGAGAGAGAGACACACACAGCAAGGGCTGGAGAGATGGCCCCAAGGTTAAGAGTACTGGCTGTTCTTCCAAAGGACCTGGGTTCAATTCCCAGCACATGGCATCTCACAACTGTCTGTAACTCCAGTTCCAGGGTATCTGGCACCCTCACCCAGACATACATGTAGGCAAAACCCCAACGTATATAAAAAAAAAATAATTTAATGAGAAAAGACAAGATAGAAATTCTAAAAGTTTAAATAAATAAATGCTTATGATTACTGACGAGCCCACAGAACTTCCAGAGTATTTTTGCTTGGAGCATCTACATCAACATATACATATGCTATTCAGTTTGATTCTGCTTATTAATCGTCTTTAAATTGCCTTAATCTCAGAACTCAGAGGCAAGTGGCCCCACCCCCCAAAATATATTAAATAAATTTACAAATAGTGTAAATAATCCCAAATGTTGTCCCTCGGCCCCTAGAAGGCAGAGTTTGACTTTCCCACTTTTTATTGCGCAGCTGCATTCCGTGGCTTGATTCCAAGGGATATCACAACGGGTAATAGAGACTTTCGAAGGGAGAAAACTGACAGACATCATTTCAACCAAGTGATCAAGGTTAACATCCCCAGGGGTAAGACATGCCAACGTCGCGCCCAGTGTCATGAACACTAGCACAACTCCCACAGAACCTGCCTGGACATGGAGGATGAGTCAGTCAGAGACTTATGGGTGAAGGGAGGCCATGGGAGACCAGATGCCTATGGTGGGAAATGCACTTCATGTTTCTGCTGTTGTTGTTAATTGTTGTTGTTGTTGTTGTTGTTTTGTTTTGCTTTACCAGATCCCCTCCCCTCAAAATGTCTTATATTATCACATAAACCCAGCAGGTGGACTTCACTTCAAACGCCTGACCAGTACTCATCAAAGCCTCCAAAGTCACAAAAACAAAAGAAAAAGGAAAGACTGAGAAATTGTCCCAGGTGGAAGGAGACCAAGGAAGCTTGATTACCCGATGTGGTTCTGGGCACAAGACTGCGTTAGGCCAGTTTCTCACAGGGAAATCTGGTAGAGCTCAGTGTTTGATCAGTTCCAGAGCTACTTTCCAAGTTCCAACAAAGAGACTGTGTGGAGCATGCTAACACCAGGAAGGTGGGGGAGATGTCTGCAGGAAGCTGCAGCTAGAAGGCGCGGGTCGTGGTCACGGAAGGGAGAGCAGGTGTGGAGGGGCATGAAGTCGTCTGAGCTTTTCTTCGCTGTTCTTGTCGTGCTGGAGGTCAAAAGGCTGTAAACAGGCTGGGCAGGCGTCCTCCGCTGAGCGACAGCCCGCTGCCAGAAGGAACTTTGAGGACATGATCAGAACACTACAGCTGGCCAAGCAGGGCTCTAGTCGCTGAGCGGTCACTAGCTCCGTATCGAGTCAAGCTCCATATGGAGTCAATTTTTTTATTGCCGTTGTTCCTTATTTCTTCTGAGCGTCTCTGGCTTTGGCATAAATTTCCGATTTTGAACGCACATGTACTTTACGTAAGCGGTGATCTTATTTCAAGATCCGTGAACCTAGGCCCCTTAATCTTTTTGTTTAGTCAGTGAAAAGCTGCCAAGCTCACAGTAGTAAGTGGTCCTGACGAGAAGGTGAGGCCATATCCGCGCTGACAGTGACGAATCTGCTTTGCCGAAAGCTAAAGGGCGTCGAGTGATTCTGAAGTTGGAGAAGGGCAAGGTGGGATACTGTGAGCCCAGCATCATGAGGTAGAGGAACCGGCTCCTGGCCCACCCTCCCAGCGGGTTCAGATCAAAGTAGACTGCGCAGATTTGCTCCACTTTCCAAGGAGTGTGCTCCTTGTGAGCCCCTGGGGCCATCCCTGGGTGTGACCAGCATCAGACGCTGGCTAAGAGCTGACTCAGTTTTAGCAACTACCCATTTGGTGGGGGAAGCCAATTTGTGGACACCTGTTGAGGAAGTACCAAGTTCTTTTGCATTGATCTGGGTTTATGTAGATCTGAATGTCATATCTTCAAGGGACACAGAAGGATAAAAGAAACCCCAAGTTCCGTTTCTATATGCACACTATCACCAAGTAGAAGGGACCAAAGGATCACCTGCCCAGGGCACGAACTGAAACCCAGCCCCTGTGGGAACCCTTTGAGCCTATACATGGTTCTTAAAACTCCTGCTTGCAATGACCACGTACCTATCTCTTTATAGAAACGGACATGTTGGCTGGATCACTGCTCCGTGCCAACTCTTCCAGTATTGGAAGATGTATTACCTTGAGTACCCTCGTCCGGAACACCAGCAAGTGGCCCCTTCAAGGGCTCCAGGGAGATGCATCTCGTTTCTTTATTAAGGTAGTTACCACAATTCCAATTTTAAAACTTTATTGATGTTACCATAATCCCAATTTTAAAGCTTTAAAATTACATTCTTATATATTTTGCATGTGCATCTGTGTGTACATGTGCCATGGCACACATGTGGCTGTTAGAGGACCAACCACAACTTGCAGGAAGGAGCCCACTCTCTCTTTCTACCATATGAGTCTCGGGGATTGAACTTAAATTATCAGACTTGTCTGACAACACGTGCCTCGACCTTCTGAGCCACCTTGATGACACAATCTTCTTTCTTCCCCTTCTCCTCTTTCTTCTCCCCTTTCTCCCTCTTTATTTTAAAATTTCATTTTATATGTGTGGGCGTTTTGTCTGAATGTGTGTCTGCATACAATATGGATGCCTGGTGACCGCAGAGGCCAGAAGAGGGTGTCAGATCCTCTACTGAGGTTACAGTTGTAAGATGCCCAGGTCCCCTCCAAGAAGAAGTGCTTTTTACCACTAAGTTATCTCTTCCGCCCCCCACCACTGACCTGGATCAGTGGGTTGTTCTTCAGTGGCAGGGTCCTGAAGAGAAAGGAAGGTCCAGGGTATCAGAGATAAAGAAGATAGAAAAGATGGGCTCAGGAATTCTGGCAGAATCAAGTTTATGAAGAAGGACAGCATTGCTAAGGGATGTGTGGGACAGAGTAATCGGAAAGTTATCATACAAGAGGAAGAACTTAGCAGGAAGTTAACCAAGCAGTGTTGCCTGAGGGGAACACGTGGCTTCTCAAGTGCATCACAGACTGAGCAATCATGCAGCAGCCTTGGAACTGATAGCCATAGCTTCTTAGGGCAGGAATAGTTGGGGGTCTCAGAATCCAAAGCCACAGCTCCCCCAAGACTCCAGTCCATCCCTGGCCCTGCCAAGCATGCTCCTTAATTTAGAGAAGGGACTGTGTTCCTTCTTCATGCATTAGGCCTGCAGGGAGAGCTTGGAGCAGTCCAGCCCCAACACCCCATCTTTCTTCAGGGCTCAGTTCTGGCAGGAACAGAGGTCTAAGCAGACTGGGCATATGGTGACTCTCTCTCCACCATGCCAAGTCCTTATTCCTGCCTCGAGTTTTCCAGGTGTGGCCCAGATGAAAGAGCAGCTGTGCAATGCGGTAAAGCGGGTATGCGGGAGTCATGGAATCCTCCAGCAGAACACCAAGGAAAAAACTGGATGCTTTTTTGTGTTTTGGCACTGAGGATGGCCAGACCTGAGGCACACTAAGTATATACTCCATCACCGAGCTCTACCCCCAGCCCAGCACTCTTTTTTGAAAGATAAATGAAAGCCAACTGGCAGAGCTTCTGAAAATTGATGGGTCCCTGCTGGGCACAGTGGGCACAATCACCTGGGATTGTGGAGCAGCCAAATTGAGACTTGGGAGATCAATAAGGGAGAAGGAAGCCACAGTGGAAGTTGTGATCACTTACTATGAACTGAGTACTCTCCTCTATATCTCAAAATATGTGTGTTCGAGTCCTTAGCCCAAACCCCTCCCTCAGAGCATGGTTTGCACAAAGACAAAGCCTGTGTGGAGATCAGTGGAAAAGAAGGAGACGTGAGGGGCTGGAGAGATGGCTCAGTGGTTAAGAGCATTGCCTGCTCTTCCAAAGGTCCTGAGTTCAATTCCCGGCAACCACATGGTGGCTCACAACCATCTGTAATGAGGTCTAGTGCCCTCTTCTGGCCTCAGGCATACACACAGAAAGAATATTGTATACAAAATAAATAAATAAATATTAAAAAAAAAGAAGGAGACGTGAATAAATCCGTAATCTGGTGTGACTGGTATCCCCAGAGAAGGGAGAAGCATGGATATAATCACAGACACACGGGGAGAAAGGCATGTGGAAATGTAGGCAGATCTTAGTGATGCCGATATAAACCACAGAAAACCCAAGATGACCAATGAGCCACTGGAAGCTGGGAAGGGACCTGGCATAGGTTCTTTCTCCAAGCCCTTGGGAGGAAGTGACCCCACCCACACTTTGTTTTGATCTTGTGAATAAGTCTGTGTTGTTGAAGGTTCTCAGTGAGTGGTGTCTTGTTAGGGGTAGTCCTGGTAGACCAGGCCTAAGCAAAGAAGGAAGAAGTCTACCTCAGGGGCCTCATGAGGGGACCCTGGATGGAGCTGTATTCATAGATCTTCTCCACAGCTGGACGAGGTGTTCCCAAAGGGATAAAACAGAAAGGAGCTGAGAAATGCCCGATCCAATCATCCCTTGGACACCTGGGGAAACCCAGTCCCAGAGAATGCTGTGACAGAATGAGACTAAGACGCAAATCTCCTGACTCGGGGTGTTTGTGGGTATCTGGCTGCTTTGTGTTCGGCAGTATCTTTCTCCTGTCACTCACCCACACCCACCCCTCGGACATGGGACCTCCCAAAAATATTCTGCTTACTCTTTGAATGGTTGATTCTTCAGTATGTTAAATGGAAAGGTACAAAGGCAGAACAGATGCAGGGAGACTGGAACCCTTGTGCGGCCCATAGGACTATAAAATGATCTAGCTATTGAAGAGAACAGTAGAGCCCTGTTCCAAGTTTAAACAGACTCCATGTCATCCAACAGTTCTTCTCCTAGATAGCTAGATAAATAAATAGATAGATAGCCCCAAAACTCAAACTCAGAGTCACAGATGCACACACCAGTGTTCAGAACAGCATTAGCCACAATGGCCACACAGTGTGACAAGCCAAGACCGTCAGCAGATGGAGAAATAAAGAGGTGGTGGAAGCACACGATGGACTATTACTCTGCCATAAAAAGGGATGACATCTTGGCATATGCTACAGTCTATATGAATCTTGAGGGCACTGTGCTAAATGAAATAAGCCAGGAACAAAAAGGATAATTATGATATATTTCCTCTTATTTATGATATCTGTTATAATGAAATTCATGGAGACAGAAATTAGAATAGAGGTTAATAATACCTAGGGAATTAAGGATTAGAGAGTTAGTGTTTGCTTGCTTTGCTTTCGGAGATAGGATTGCATTTTATAGAACAGGCTGGCCTCCAAATTGCAGTCCTTCTGCCTCATGCCTCTGATATATATACCTGGCTAGGTTTGTTTGTCTTTTCCTTACAGTACTGGGGATCTAGGGTCTTGTGTATGCTAAGCAAGTGCTCTACTACTGAGCTTGGAGTTCATGTGTCATGAGTATGAAGTTTCTGTTTGGGACAATGTAAAAGTGTTGAGGACAGCGGTGATGAATGGTGACCCAAACTATGACCTAATGTCACTGAATTGAGTAAAGTAGTTAAAAGGGGGAAAATGTGTACTATACATATCTTACCAAAATTAAATTAAATTTAAAAACAATCTTCTAGCTAACTGTCATCTCAGCATTCAGTAAGCTGACTCAGGAAGATTCTAAATTTGAGGCCATCCTGGGATGCCCAGCAAGATACGTCGGAGACAGAGGCAGCGGGGAGCCCTTTTCTAGATGCTGGTGAAACAGCAGCCAACAGCTCTTCTTCCCAGGCAGCTAGTGTCCTAGCATGTTGGCATATTAACTGATTTAATCTTCACAACCACATGATGATGGAGGTGCAGTTATTAATTACCCCCATTTTACAGGCCACAGCCCCTGGGCACTAAGAGGCTGTGTGCCTTACCTCAGATCTAGTGAGCTGAAACCCACATAGTGAGGCTCTAGAGTCCTTGCTCCTGTTCACTCTGTCTTCCTTATTTACTTGCCTCCAGGGCACACAAACATCTACTGAAGTTCATGCCAGGCACTGGCTTCCTACATAGAGGAATATAATGGTGTCATAGCCCTAAGCCCCAGCCCCATGAAGTCTGCAGCTGCAATAGGATTTTGACTTCCCTTAATTCAGAGTAGTTATCAGTGTTAAGGTACCACGTGCTGAACTGCCACAATGAGGCAGTTTCAAGTATTCAAGTGCGTAGACCATTATACCCATCCATCCACCACCACCACTTGACTTTCTTAGTCCTTCCAAGGGCCCCATTTTCTCCTAACCCCATCTTATAGATGGACAAAGTGAACTGAGGCTACCCAAGATGCATTAAAGAAATGGGACTGGAACTCGTGGTCCTTACTCAGAGCTGGGCCTCACTAAGGCCTCACTAAGGTGAGGTCCAGCCGGGAATCTAGCCGATGGGCCCATACGGTCTTCCCGGTACCATTGTCATCAGCCATCCCCACCAAGAACGTTTGGACTCTGGTTGGTTGGGTGGGAAGTGCGGTTCTTGGCAGGGCTGCCCAAGCCAATTAATAAGCCCAAAGCACTTTGAAGATGAAATTGTCCATAAAAAGGTCTGGTTCCCACCGTTGCCAGCAGTGAGGCAGGGACAGCCTGGGGAGAAGGCTGTGCCGATGATGGCGTAGATCCTACACTGTAGGAGTGGGTGGAATTCCCGGGCAGGAATCCTAAGGACAGCGGTTGGGCTCCCAGCCCCTTCTAAAAGCCTCCTTCTCTGGTCCCAGAAGAGTCAACCTCAAGGCAAGACTTTACAAATTCACCATCAGTCACCCTCCCCTGAACGCTGCTGGAACTACCCCACAGTTGTGGGCTTGCATGCATAGTTTCTCCACAAAGCTGACTCACTTTTCAAAGCATTCGTTCTCTTAAAATCAATTCTTTGCTCACACAGTTTATCCTGATTATTGTTTCCTCTCCCTTTCCTCCTCCCCATTCTTTCCTACCGCCCCTCCTCCTCAGGATCCTTTCTGTCTCTCATTAGAATCCATTTTGAATAAAAGAAACAATGTAAATAATAATAATAATAATAATAAAGTTGAATGTGGATAAAAAATAATTATTCCTCCAGGGCTGCTGGAAATGCCTTAGCGGACAAAAGCAGTTACTGATAAGGCTGGCAACCTGAGTTCAGCCCCTGAGGTGGAGAGAACTGACTTCCCAAAGTTGGCCTCTGACCTCCACGTGTGCACCACGGCATGCACACACACACACAAATGTAACAAACTGGGGTAGGAGAGTCAGGGCAGCCATTAAGAGTACTTGCTACTTAAAAAAAAGGAGCTGGGTTTAGCTCCCAGCACCCACATGACTGCTCACAGTCATCTGAAAAACCAATTCCAGGAAACCTCTTCTGACCTCCATAGGCGCTGCAAACACACGGTGCACATTCACCCAGGCAAAACACTCGCCATTCACTAAAACCATTCGTCCTAAGCATTAACCTTTGTGACATGCATGTGATATGTTCTTGCTTTTCCTTCTCAAATGCACTTAGAATAATTTAAAAACTAAGACCATGAAAGACTTTGTTTCCTGAAATCTAAAAATCTCATCCTTTGGTGAGAGGAAGATGCTGGAATGCACCTTCCCTTCTTGCTCTATGTGCTTGGATGACTCTCTGAGCCTCGGTTTCCCTACCACAATGTTCCTTGAAGCTCTTATTCATTTCACCAGAGAAAAGCTGGCCCACGCCTGAATGACAGCACTGCCCTTGCACGCCCCTGCACCATGGCCTCAGGCAAGTTCCTTAGTCCGTCTCTGCCTCCTTCACACTGCCTGTGAATAGAGTCTTCTTCACAGTGCTGACGAAGGGTTTTGAGTCTTCTCTGTGGCGCCTGTTCTGACCCCCTGTATTGTATATAAAACATTATCCCACCCCCAGTGTTCTTGCTTGTTTGTTTGGACAGGATCTTGCCGTGTGGTCCAGGACTGCCTTGAATTCTGTGTGTCCCAGACTAGCCTTTGAATTTGAAGCAGTTCTCTTGCACCAGACTCCAAATTGCTGGGATTACAGACATTCACCACCATATTGTGCCTTCCCAGGAACTTCTGAGTCCTCTTTCTCTATGTTCTTGTCTTCTGACAAACTGTATGGTCAGTTTGGTGATTGATTGCTTCCCCCTGCCCTCTGTCTGAATGTAAATTCTACAAGAGCAGAGATACTCATCCCTTTTGCTCATGACGACCCTCATCAGTGTGTGTTTTCCACAGCTGATATTCCTCCGTTCAGGTCTGCAGGGCCTGCTATCTCAAGACATATAATGCAACCTTGTGTATCTAAGAACTAATTCCATTGCATTGACTTAATTCATTGAACCCCATTGTCATGGACATTTAAGCTTTTCCTAATCCCTTAAAAGTAAGATGGCATTGGGTGACACCCACTTCCATATTAACATATTAATATTAACATATTAAGATGTGTTAATAAAGATAGTAGCACTGTGAATGACCTGGTGTGGCTCATGTTTGGGGGAACCTGTGTCTAAACACATCCACTTCTCTGAAGTCTCCCCATGAGCGAGCTTTGAATTTTTGGATCTCTGCTTATCACACAGGCTATTGAAATAGTATCAGGCTGCCATTTTAATTTGCATTTTTATTAGCATGAATATAGATGAGTATCTCCCTTATTCTAACTGACATTTGTATTATTTTTTCCTCCATTACTTTTCCTACACAGTACCCACCCTTCTCCTGGGGAAATCTTCCGATCCTGGTCCCCAGCTGAGCCCTTTCTAGATCTGCACTACTGCTGTATCATGCCCCCTAAATTACAGCTTTATTTTGCGGTGCTGTGAACCCTGGACCTCCACATTTTAAGGAAGTGCTCTACCACTGAGCTACCCATCCCAGATCAGCTCTTCTTCCAGTTCCTCTA